CTTTTGGTATGCTGTGGTTGGTTGTAGAAGTATACAAGTATAGTATATAACACGTTATCTAGCTGCTGGGTTCTTGGCCATATATTGTAAGCTCTGCATGGCTGAGGATCCATAACTTGGTATCAATGACCGAGTATCCTGCTGATATAGTACCTTCTGTATTCTCCAGGAGATGTGGTTCTCAAGGATTTGAAATTGAAAGCTGAGGCATTGAATGCATTGAAGCTTCCTGTAACTGTCAAAGCTGGATTCCTTGGTAGTATAACCTTGAAGGTAGGTTTGCTAATTCCTTTCTTAAAAAAAGGGTAGATGATTAATTCCACAAACAAAAAAAATCTTTTGTAATACTGATTCAAGTTAACAATGAATAAACCTATTTCCTTTTTTTCCTCCTTTTCCAGTTGCTCTCTAGCTATCTGGCATTTCATGAGTAATCCTAGGATCTTACCAGCGTTACAGTATTTTCTTCATCTTAGTGATTAAATTAAATTAAAATTTTTAAGTAAACAATCTCAAATGCTTTACTCTCTATGTTTAATTTTTTATGATACATGTATCCTTGTCTTCCATTCGACTTAGATAAGCCAACCCCAACCAATTTTCTGACATGTTTGCTTGATATTCTTCTTATTGTCTTCCAATGCGTTGGGAAGCCCCATGAAAAAACAAAATTTTTAAAGGTCTTTAGTATCTGATATCTCACATGGCTGTGGATATTGCGATTGTCTTTATGCATCATTATGTATTAACATCTCAAGATAATCACTCACGCTTTTCTTCTTTCGTAGTTTGATATTCTTCCCCTATCCTCCTATGTATATATGATGCTGGAAAATTGAACACTTGTTCTTAGTGGTGAGGCCTACATTGGGACATTTTTCAATGTGTTTGTATTTTCTTTGGTTGTGTCTGGACCGAGGGATTGAAATTCGAAGGAATTCAAATATCATGGATGTCTTGTTGGAGCTGAACATCATTGATTCCATGTTTCACGTTCGCGTGTGATATGCATCTGTGGAACTTTCACATCCATTGGAAATTTCATTTCAATTCTGGTCACTAGATAATAGAAAAATATAAATTTATGAAAATATTTGGTTTATTGAGTCTCAGACTCAGTGGACTGTAGCGTGAGTATGAAAGTGTTGTCTCATGTGTGAAACGCATCGTCTGTATGATTGAGATTAGTGGAGTATGTTTTTGCACGTCTATGTGCAATGTGAGTAGTGTGCGTCCCTTTGAAATTTGTGCGGTGTGTGAAAATGCGGTTTCTGTGTGCGGATCACATGGTGTGTATGCATGAGATGAGTATAGTATGTGTTTGTATGTCTCTGTGCAATGAGTAGTGTGTGTCCCTGTGATATTTTTGCTGTGTGTGGGAGAACAGAGTGTGACTTGTGTGTATTGTATGTGTAAGTATGAATTTGAAATGGTTAAGCGTTCAGGATTGTTTTCAAAATCTGTAAACAATGAACTAAATTGGGAGGACTTTGGAATTCTTTGATTTAAGAATACAGCCAAACGTGTTGGGTGGATTTACAAATGATTTTAATCCTGCCCCTCAAATCCCTCATCCAAACCCAAAATCGTTTATTTTTCCCGCATATGTGCTTTGTGGGACATTTTTTGGATAGTGCATTAGAGATGCGGTTGTCATTTTGGTATTTTGCATTGCATATGTGTAAGCTTGAAAAAATCCATCCTGTTCTTCCCGTCTCTTCTGGATAATGGAATTTTATTATTTGGAATTTTAAGAATGCACCTTGCCAACCTCCAAAACTTGTGCACCTTCACGTTGTTGCGTGAAGTGAAATTTAGAACGTTTATCTACCTTTTTTCTTAACTGAAAGTTAAAGTTAAATTACTAATTGCATTTTTCCTTTTGATCAAAGGTACCTTGGAAAAGCCTTGGCAAGGAGCCAGTCATTGTTCTAATTGATCAGTTGTTTATTCTCGCAAATCCAGCACTTGATGGAAGGTCTCTGAAGGTTTGATCTGTTATGGATACCTCTTGATCATAATCATAAATATAAAAATGGATGGGTTATATCCAACTCTCCAAAAGGGGATCGTCCTAATGAAATATTTGTTTCTTATAAAGGTGGAGGACCGCGAAAAGCTCTTCGAGGCCAAGCTGCAACAAATTGACGTGAGTTGTTTTTTTCAAGTATTTGTCTCATGTTGTTGAATATGTTCCTTCTGATCTCTGAAAGATAGATTTGACTGGTGTAAACATTTTCTCAGAATTCTTTCTCATGGTTGAAGAATGATGGCCTGGCAGACATCTTAAATCGTTTCATATCTTCATGTTTTCTCAAGTCAATCCTATAATTGTTTATCCTGTAACATACCTGTAGTGGACTTATTAACCTAAGTACTTCACCTTTTTGTAATCTTTCTACAGTAAGAGATTTGGGACTGAGCTTTACCTCCTTGAATTGGTTGAATTATTTATGCTTAGGGACTTAGGTGCATGTGGTTTACTGATGGCCTTTTCACTACGTACCTCGTTATATTAAACATCACATGGTTTGGCCCATGATGCTGAATTTCAAAATGCTCATCCAAGTTGATCAATATTAGATTTCTTGTAGGACTGTGGCTATTTTACAGTCAGGGATGGAACTTTAGAGTGCTTCCGCATCTTGTTGCATGTGTTCTGTTGATTGTAGCCAGTGTCACGCTTTATGAGATTGTAGCCAGTGTTGCGCGTTATGTTGATTGAAGCCAGTGGCCGATGTTTTAGTCTGCTTGAATTTAGGTGGATAGTATTGTAGTCACCTGGCCACCTTCTGTAGATTTATTTATCTATCCTTGCGTCTTTATTAAGTGCAGGTTTTGGTTATCCTTCTTTTCGTCCTTTCCTCCATCGGTAGTATAGGTGACAAAGCATGATAATTAACTTAATAATTTTGTTTTGGCTAAACAGTTGGTGGTTTTTAAAGTATTCCTCTGTTAAGTTGACTGGGGTTCTGCCTTCCACACGAGTTCTTTTCAATTGTTTCTATGTGGTGGTGAAATGTCTACTAGTTCGCATGACAATTTTTTAGCCAGTATAGTGTAACAGATTGTGCTTGCCTTAATCCTTTCCAGTATTAAAACATTTTCTGATCTTATAAAAGGTCCCGCTATCGAGACGCCTAGGGTTTTTGAAGTAATAAAAACCATGAAAAAGCATTGATAGATGGGGGCTATAAAATAAATAATGCTGTCTATCACGAGTTATGCTGATAAAGTGAATCAACAGAACGTGAACTTTTGTAAAGTTATATTATATGGTGTGGAAAGGCTATTTTTTCCCAATTTCCACTATTTTTCTGTGTACGATAGTTGCCAAACCTAGATTTGTGTTCTTTATTATGGAGATTTTGAACAAGATAGTTGCAAAACCAAGATTTCCCTTCTATGTTTTATTTTGTTTTTACTATTTAACTCATACATAGTATATTCAGCTTTGCTTCAATCAAAATAAGTGTTATTTTTGTATTTTGTGATTGATATGCTAATGCTTTTAATACCGTGTTTCTCATATTGCAGGAAGCGGAAGCAGCAACCCTTGAAGCAATATCTAGGTCAAAGCTGGGAAATGTATGAAAGTTTTTTGTGATTCATATGTTAGGGAAATTCCTAAGTTTTATGAACATTTATGTTTGATTTGAGTTTATTGCTAGTGGATTACATCATGTGTTCTCTTTGGTTAATGGTTACTGCAAAAAGTTTTGCAGCTATTATTCTCTTTTCTCTACATGCACGGTTTAATAATAATAATAACAATAATAATAATAATAATAATAATAATAATAATAATAATAATAATAGGAAGAGGATGGATTATTGAGTTCTTACACCTCTAATCTCTTTTACTTTCTTTCCTATTTGTTTACTATTTCTTTTGGGACAATTTAGATCACACATCAAATCAGTCAATTACAGTCGGTGTTCTTTGTTAAGTCTAGATAGCTGGTGAGTGTTGCACTGTGATTTTGATTTGTGAAGAGGAACGCAAAGATGTAAGAGTTCCTGGATAAGTTCACTTATTACTTTGATGTATATATATCCTTATTAAATTGCTTACTTGCTTTTTTATCATAGGATTGTCAATGAGTGGCACCTCCTTGAGTCGACTACTTATCTAGGACTAGGAATATTTGTAGGAGAAAGTTAGTCGTATTTCGTGTTCTTTTTTCTTCTCAAATTGAGATATAGCTCCAAAAAGATTGTGGAATATGGTTCTTTCTTTTCCCTATTTGTATGTCTTACTAGTTTTTCTTTGTACAAATTCATACTTATAATAGCTTTAGGTAGTTCCTCCCATTGTTCATCAATATATATGCAATGTATTATTATATTATAATAATTTCACGATTATTTTGCAGCCTTCAGCTGGAAATTCTTGGCTGGGTTCAATAATAGCTACAATTATTGGAAACCTAAAGATTTCTATCAGCAATGTCCATATCAGATACGAAGATTCTGTGAGGTTGGTTTGTATCTTGAAGTAATTATATTCCCTATTAGTTGTTTATTTACTTTCTTCACTAGATGCTAACTCCCCTCATTTAATTTATAAAGTTACTTGCTGTTTCCTGATGTATTCAAGCCTCCATTTTATTTGTAACTGTTTATTCAGCAATCCAGGACACCCATTTTGTTGTGGCGTCACCCTTTCAAAGCTTGCCGCAGTTACCATGGATGAGCAGGGAAACGAAACCTTCGACACAAGTGGTGCTTTAGATAAGCTGCGCAAGGTCCGCTTCTAGTCTGATTCATCTTCCTTTTTCCCCCACTCCCCTCCCCCATCTCTATCTTCCCATGTGTGCGTGTGTGCGTAAGTATCCAATTGGGGAGAGGGATTGGGGCATTGATTTCTAACCCGTGTGTGAAATACAGCACAACAATATGCTCTATGAACATGGAACGGAGTTGTTTGTTTTACTTGTGAATTGTGAGTCATAGACGAAGTTAGATAAATGATGGTAGTTCTGAATTTAGCAGAATCCTATCTTGAAATCACCACTTATCTCTGCAGTTATGAGCTTTGAAATGTACGACAACATTGGAGAATGGACCAGACTCCTTTCATTTAAGTTTCATGTTAGGTGTATGCAGACAGACTGATACAGAAAATTGGACTGATTTTTCATTTTTTTGTGTGTTTCTGTTCTGTTATAGTCACTGCAACTTGAAAGGCTTGCGATGTATCATGATTCCAATCGTGATCCCTGGAAGTTGGACAAGAAATGGGAGGATCTTAGCCCTCGGGAATGGATTGAGGTTCATTTTCTACTGTGGTCTTATCCTTTTATAAAATATGTCTGTCTTATTTGGTATGAACATAGTAATACTTCTCATTTTAGTGCCTAATTTTATTCGTTTCTTGTTTATTAGATTTTTGAAGACGGGATTAATGAATCTTCAAAAGGCAGCATTTCAATGTCGCGTTGGGCTCAAGACAGGAATTATGTAGTTTCACCAATAAATGGAGTTCTTAAGTACCATCGTCTGGGAAATCAGGAAAGAAATGATTCCAGTGTTCCATTTGAGAAGGCTTCTGTTGTCATCAGTGATGTATCTTTGACAATTACTGAGGTATTCGTTTTGACTGTAATTACTTTCTATTTTTCCTTCCTTCCTTCTTTCCTCCATTGTTTTTCTTTATTACTATTATTTATTTATTTTTTTTTTGGTTTCTGATTTGATCATAAATTGGAAGTATGGTGTACTAAGATTTAGGGTATGTTCGGTTAATCTAGCTGATGAAAAGTTTGTGGATATTGTTGATAGTTGATAAGTTACCTGATAGCTTATAAGTGAATTTCGAACTTATAGCTGGTATCTTATGATGGATTCCTGAAAAGCTAGTTGATATATTGAAAATGTTTGATAAAATTAGTTATCAGCTGAAATAAAAATTTCATATAGTTTTTTTATGAAAAGCTACCAAGAGAAGCTTATTAGATAAGTTCCAGTTTTTAAAAAAACACTTTCACCAAACCAAGCTTAGTTGAATACAAAAAGCTTAGAAGCTAACTAAATAAGTTATACACTAGATTATGGTCCCACCAAACACACTCTTAGCTTAGGTTACGTTTAACATTCTGTATTTTCTTATCCACCTATTGTCACTTTTCTTGAAAAGGTATTTGTTTCTTAAAAATAGGAAAAAATAAAATTCTATTTGTATTTCTTATAGATTTATGTTTTTTCTATATCATGTTATGTTCTTGGGCAAGTTCTGAATTTGATGTATCTTAAGATGTTGACACATGGTTGTTATGGCAAGCCATGTTGAAATGGTGAGAGGTATTATAAGTATTTCTCCATTGATACTAAACCTTGTAATATGTCTGTGTATATGTATATTTATAAATACCTGCATAAACACTCATTTAAATATATTCAAGCAGTAGATTTATCGACCATACTGTTTTGGTTAATGTGCACTGTTACATTTTCTTATATTTCTTTCGACTCAGTGGATATATTTCATATCCCGCCATACATTTTACTCCAATCTAAACACATTCTCATATTGCGTCATACTTGGTTATGAAGATTTAGCTCCAATTTTAAAGACACGTTCGCGTGACTTATTTGAAGCTTCTGTTTATTTGAATAAGGAGCTGTCATTTTGACTACCTGTTCTTCATTTCAGGCTCAGTATCATGATTGGATTAAACTAATGGAGGTCATATCCACGTATCGAACATATGTTGAAGTCTCTCATTTGAGACCCATGGTCCCAGTATCAGATGGGGCTGCATTGTGGTGGCGTTATGCTGCTCAAGCTGGGTTGCAGCAGAAGAAGATGTGGTAAGCTTGATCTATAAATTTAATTCTGCTAAATGGATAACTATTTAGTCATGGTCTACACTTGTGATTGAGTATATATAAAATTCCAGCATGTTGGGAATGCTTAAGAGGAACTAGTTAAATAGACTAGATACTTAAAAGGCAACTGTAGAAGTTTGGAACCATTTTGCTAGGACTTCGCCAGAATCGACTTTCTGTAGGTGTCTTCCGGAGAAGTGATTCAGGCATCTATTATAACGATAATTGAAATTTTAAATCCAAGTCCATTTTTGAAGCGCTCCCAAATTTGTAAAAAGAGGAAAAAAGTATATGTAATCTAACTATGTATTTAATGGTTTGATTTGTGCGTAAATATTCAAAAAAAAAA